AATTTATTTCTCCTTATCAAGCTTAATAAAGGTATTCGTGATACAAATTAACTGAAGCGTTGCAATATCATTACATCAAAAAGACTCTCTCTCTCTCTCTCTCTGGATAGAGGTAGCTACAAATTTAAATTGACGAATTGGTTTGTCATTTCTTTCTACTCCTATTAATAAATACGGTTGCTGTTGCTTCATTTTAGGGTGCCATTTGCATTTGTTTTTAATAATATCTTGAACAGATTTATGTTTGACCTTTGTGATATGCCGACTATATACGACTGGAATTCAAGATACTTCAGTTTTACTCAGCCGGTTATTTTGCATATTATGTATTTTTTATTAGCATTAAATAACTTATAGATTTAATTGGCATTATACATAATATTAACACGCACAACTGTGAATATGTGATCCCTTTAAAAATAGTAAATAATTTAATCTGTAGATGAGGTCAAACCGATACGTGTGACCCCCTCCCCCTCCCGGTGTGACTTTTTAAAAACAAGCCATATTAATCTTTTTCATGTTTGAAAAATGATCCAAGTTATCCACGAGAATTAGACTACCTTCCAATTCAGACTAATTTTCGAGAGCGCAATTAGTCGGTCCTAATTTGGAACGTTTTTGATTTTGTAGCTGTCTACGCACATCTCTTTATCGATATCATGACATGATCTGCTCAGGGTCTACAGTAACTTAACGGGAAGCGTATTCCTAGGGAATTGTATGATTCACACACAATACATCTAAACTGTAAGTATACCTAGATGGTCAATTGATAATTACCTTTTTGGAAAGAGTCTTTACTCAAATAATATATATATATATATATATATATATATATATATATATATATATATATATATATATATATATATATATATATATATAAAATTTAAACGTACATTGCCCCAACTGGGTACATTGTGTATACACAGTACAAAATTTAAGGTTAATGAACTTATACTTTAAGTTGTAATGCATTTGTCAACTTTAACAGGTTGCACATTTCAATGATTAAATTAAATTATTATCAATTGCGTTTATATATGTCCTTTTTTATAATTTCCTTTATAGACTTCCGTTCCAAATTTGTGTATTGAAAATTTTTCATTGATTTATTCAAGACGGGGGATTTGGATTATTATATGGCAAGTTTATTTACACACAGAATGAAATAGTTCTGATGCAGATAATCTGTTGCGAAAGAAATCTAATATCCCCATAATATTACACTCAGCTTTTTAAATAAAAATGATGAAGAGAACTTGCTAAATAAAAGATCAATAACCGACATATATAACTATTAGTTCCATACTAATTGATCTAATGTATTTTGTTCATTACCCCCCAATATCTCATCTCTTTCTCGTTTATTTTGCACGACTCTTAATTCTATTGTGCATGCAATTCCTATGCAATGTCTGTTATTGAATGAATTCGATAATAGGAACATATGCTTTTATTGAAAACAATTGACCACTTTAACTTTGATATCGAAATTGCACACACACACACACACACACACACCATCGTTTATACATTTAACTTGCAGGCATTGTTTCCTACAATAGTATGCGCTTGATTCGATTAATCAACTTTGTGTCCAGAATATTTTCATAGGATCTACTTGTCCATATTTATAAAATTAACAAATTAAGTTCCCGCAGGGAAATTTACCTTTTATAATCAGGAAGATAAAGACTGTGTTAGAATATTGATTCTATTTGAATGCATTCCAAAGATCCTCCGCAGTTTAGCTCGATAGTTTATATTTTTCTTCCGTGTACAAGCTATATTTTGTTGCCTTGAACTGACACATAACAAAAACAATTAATAAATATCATAATCACCGAAAAATATAGAAACATTTCGCTTTAGGTCTTTTCTGAAAACAATTTCTTCCCATCATTATGACATTTATAAAAAATTGAAACAATGGAAGAAGCAAACCCAATAACCGTAGAAGCTAAAGTAAATATTCAGGAAACTTCTGTACTCAGCTAATCTTATAATTTTATCGATTTGGACAATATCGATCTTGAATTTCTGAGGAATATATTGTCTAAAACGGGGAAGTGGTCTGTCATAATTCGGCATGCAGTCTCGACAGTCAGTTTAAGGTATCATCAAATCTGCTAAAAGTATTGCGTTAGAATAAACTATAACCGGCAAACCAGTCTGGATTTAGAACAAACTATTTTAATTTTCTTGCCCGAGTGTAAAATAGGTACAGCTGCTACGATAGGATTAGTCATTCAAGCAGCCGGTCTATGTTGGATTCTGCAGTAAGGAAACCCGAGAACCGGCTACGGCTCCGACTCTGTCTATCGTCATTATGGCAGCCCGTTTCGAAACAAAGGAATAGTCCCAAAGAAATTTTTGAACAAGTCTAGAGTGAAAGATAACCCCAGGGAATATTGCACATGCAGTTCCCTTTTATAAATGTTCGATATATATGTTTCGCATTATTATAAAAAAAATTAAGAACTATCTCACGATGCCTTGGCGACCTATATTGGTAAAACTCCACATTCCACGCATAATTCTCTTTCAGAGGTTACGTGCACTAGAGCCAATCGTCTGCATTTTAACCCACATAAAGAAAGGCAGTTTCATTGGATGAAAGCTTAGAGCAGTCACTAGGAGGGCTTAAAATTAAAATGAATTTGCCTTGTTAGTCTTACAAAATGCGACGACGCCATTCTGGGCCTTAGCTGACATATAGAATGAATAGGAAAATCGATTTATGTGCCTGGCAGACTTTGTAATCCGGTGTGTGGGAATAGATGCTGCAGCAAAATATAACTTGTACTTCATGATTATTGTTTCATTTTACATGCGTATTTCTTTGTCAATTTTAATTTTTATACAAACAAAGAAGTGACGTATGGCAAGACCGTATCAAATATTTCCAATTGACTCAGAAATATAAAAAGATTAAAAAGAAAAGTATAAAATATTGCAATCGCATCGCGTTAATATGTCGGCCAGAAATAAAATGTCGTGAACCGGGACGTCAAATGTACAGAAAAATGCCGCTGAGCTATTATTTCCGCATCAGAGAATTCTCTAACACATCAAGAATTAAACGCGATTTAGATAAAACAAAATCGTTTTATACCACATGTGGTCTGAACAATTACATCATTGAGTAGAGCATGTATTAAATAATAAAATTATCCTAGCATACTCAAATATTAAAAATTACTTACTTGAGTATTAAAATGGAATGAATAAGTTGTGCGGTGAGGTGTCGTCTGCTATACGCTCATCCAGCTGTCTAACTGCCTCTGATTCATTGCGGAAGGAATTTGCACTATGTATTCATCGGACCCAATCACATTATAACCCTCCGCCTTGAAATTTGTAAAAGTATTTCTCTTTAAGAGAGAAATTATTCCTCTATATAAAAAATATACAAGCCGCTACACTTATTGAATGGAAAAAAGATTTTGTTTGCGACAATCGAAACCAAACGCGTTTCATTTCAATCACAGTTTTTCAGAGAATGAATGGGGACTATTTCTTGCAATATTACTATTATTACTCATAGACTGAATCATTTTGTAAAGAAGGGGCTACATAGATTCGATGATGAGCAATGTGATCGATGATATACAAAAATATGTTAAATTATTAAATATTTTATTTGGAACATAGTCCATATTAATGTTAATGATACTATCGCTAACAATTATTTGATAGTTTATAAATCAGTTTGTTCGTCCAGTTCAGCTGCATATCTGCTCTATGTGCCCAAGTTTTCAAAGTAGTTTCGCTTGCTCACTCAATTATGAGTTGCGGTTAATAACATACGTGTCAGCGGCGTTGGACAAGCATTGCGTTACCAATTAAAAGTAACGCGTAAGATATCGTTTTTTTTATACAACCAGTAAGGCGTGCGTATGTATGTATGTATGTATGTATGTATGTATGTATGTATGTATGTATGTATGTATGTATGTATGTATGTATGTATGTATGTATGTATGTATGTAATTTGTTCCAAGAATAATGCTTTACTTCATACATGAATAAACGGGAAAAAGACATCTTTTTGTTCTTTTCCAGTGATTTGCACTGTTAATCAATGCTGAATATTTTTGACAAAAATTTTAATTAACACATGATTGTTTAGCCTTTAGTTTCCTAATTATTTCCTTGGTTAAACCTTTATTACTTTACAATGTCTGCAATATAAGTTTTGGTATGTCTGTTAAATTTAAGGTGTCCATAAAATTTTGTCACTGTAAAAAGTGTGCAATGTATTTTTATAATTTCAAAATGCAGATGAAATCTATATGGCTCTGGCATGGAAGCAGAGTTCACGCTCTTTTTATGAGCTCCAGGTGCACGTTTTTTGAATAAAAAAACTTTTGAGTAATTTTTCATACAAAATTAATATATTTGCTAGGCATATTTAACTTAAAAGAGGGTGGATGGATCCGTGTAGTAATACGGATTTAACGGTTCTATCAAAATAACTTTCGGACCGAAGTTTAGACGTCCAACCCTACGTTTATGGTGGTGTTTCACATTAAGAAATCTTTGTGGAGTTTATGACATGAGTTTCAAGCTTTGACGTAGAGAACTGACTTCGCCGTAGAAAAATTAGCTTTGCCGTAGAGAAATGACTTCGCCACTGAGAAAGTTCCAGATATAAATAGATGAATACCTGAAAATCTTAAAATCATACATATATATGTAACATAACTGACAGAAGTTAACATAAGGTCTGTCTTTGTTAAATATTATGTGATGTGATGTGATTATGAATTTTAACGTAGCTTTAACTATTTTTCAGTCACATCGCTACGATGTCAGCAGTGCGGCAGTTTATAGCGATGTCTAGCAGTGGGGCATCATGCCGCAGACATATAGCATGATGTCCCACCTAGTCACATTATCCTGAATCCAGGCCGACCAGTCCTAACACTAACCTCTTAATGCTGAGCGTCAAGTGAGGCAGCTCTTAGTACCATTTTTGTAAGTCTTTGGTATGACTCGACCGAGGATTGAACCAACGACCTCCCGCATCTGAGGCGGACGCTCTAACCACTAAGCCATTTGAACTGTCTAATGAAATATAAATATTATAAATTTAGTTTAATTTTTGTTAACTCAAAGACACGAAACCAAGAAGTTTGATTCAAAAGCACTTGGTTTATTTTGTAAACATGCTACAGATGTAACAAAAATGAGCATATCATCTGCAATCAGTCGAAGAAGCAGTTATAGTAAACTGGTCTGAAAATAAAGATAGATTTTATGGGGAAATAGATATAAAGGCTTGAAACAAATCTGGGCTTAAATCATCTCCTTTACGCGCCCCGGTTTTAATAAAATTAACTGTATATTAGAGAGCAATAAAGGTTAAGAAAAGACTTACTTGCAATTTGAAATGCAAATAAAGGGGGTACCACAGTTTATGCAATTTGAAAAGCAATTAAAGGGGGTATAATAGACGATGGAGTCTAAAAAGCTACTATAGAATATACAAGCATTGGTACATTCTGAAAAACAGCTACAATATATATATATATATATATATATAGATATATATATATATATATATATATATATATATATATATATATATATATATATATATATATATATATAACAAAAAATGTATTCTAAAAACCAAGTAAAGGAGGTATCAGAACATTTAAAAATAGTGTGAAACTAGTGAACCAAAGGGCAGTAGAGAACAGGGAAACATGGAGAGAATTGGTTGTAAAGAGGATTGTGGTGCCCAAACGACCTCTTGTGTAAAGGAATTGATGATGATTATGATTTTACGGGCGTTTTTTTTTAAAAAAAATAATAATGTGACATTTGATTTTTCATTTTATTTAGCAACAATATGTATACAACGATATTCTGATAAGGTCCGTACAAACTCAGACACCTTAAAAATATGTAGAATAACATTCTGATAAAATCCGTACAAACTCAGACACCTTAAAATATATGTAAAATAACATTCTGATAAAATCCGTACAAACTCAGACACCTTAAAAATATGTAAAATAACATTCTGATAAAATCCGTACAAACTCAGACACCTTAAAAATATGTACAATAACATTCTGATAAAATTCGTACAAACTCAGACACCTTACAGGAAGTATTGTTGTTATTATAAGGTCTAACGCCATTTCAGCACAAGATATGCCATACATGGCGGCCAGTATAAATAGTGGAGGAAGATCCACGGAAAACCCCGGAAAGAACCACCGACCCACGAGAAGCTACCGGGAACGGCAAGCTTTCTCACATCCCCACATTGGCCGAGCCCATATCAAAGAAATATTGTATGAAAGTTAGACGCGGTAACTTGTACTTTCGAGATTCTGTAACATCCCATACCATGGCGTTTTCTTGACTGAAACCAATTCATCTCGTCTTGGACAAATCTCCTGGCACAATTGTTGGACGAAGCTCATTATGAATCAATCATGTCCCCCATCAGAGTAGTTCCGGTTTGGAGCCCTCATCTGGAATCAGTACACAATTAATAAAATCCGGTTCAGTACCCACGAATGTAGTCCCAGTCTATTTTTAGATCACTTTTTCCGGTCTAAATTTGTTGGTGATACTAGAGTTAGATTTTGGCATTCTTGATAAGGATTTAAAGGCAATTGATTATTCTTTAAAATGTGAGCTTATGGTGTGGTTGTCTGTGTGTATTTCGGCGACAGTGCACATTGAGTAATAAGGTCATGGTGATGATCTGGAAGTGAAATCTGTGTTCCGTTGCCTGGTGTTTTGTTTACAATTCAGCCTCTCAAAAAATGCAGGTCAACCCTTGACAAGAACTAAACCGTAAAGTCATCTTTGAAGGTAGTTTAGATTAACATATGATTTGTATTGATTGTCACACAGTTGAAAGTTCAGTACTGAGAAACAAATGTAGAGACCATATAGTAAAATTAATTGTGTACTATGGCCATCTGTGATATTTGATCGCAAGTACTTGAAGCTTGTGACTCTTTCCAGCTTCTGTCCACTGACCTTTATTTCAGCACTAATGCCATTGGTGTTGTTTGTCACCAGTTTGTTTTTCGGCGCCAATCTCCTTACCGTGTGCGTTGCATGTTGTGTCGAGGCACTCAACCAAGTAAGCCAATTCTTTTTCATTGGCTAAACTATCAATATCATCTGCGAAGCGAAGATAAGTGTTTATTCTTCATCCGATGCTGACAGTGCCCTTGTGGTTATGCAAAGCAATCTCCATGATCCATTCCAGAAAAATATTGATGAGTGTACGTGACAGTATCCATTCTCTGTCCGACGTCAACTGTTGTTCAAAACCAATCTCCTCTCCTGCCATTGATGAGGACAGCTCTGGTAGCTTTGCCAAAGAGGTACTCAACAACCTGCACCAGGTTTGAACTGATGTCGTATATCCTCATAGTTGTCCAGAAGGCTGCATGCCATATCTTATCAAAGGCCTTTTAGAAATCTATAAAGACGTGGTATAGATTCTGTTGATAATGAAAGTAAATCTCGTAAAGGAATCTGAGATTGAAAATTTGTTATTTGATGCTCCTTCCTGCTCGTAAGCCTGTCTACTCTTCAGCAAAAAATGTGTTCTGCTTGAGGCTTTAGTCTGTTGAGAATTATCTTTCGGAATGACTTTCCTCGGGTAACTGATCAAACTGATGGTTCTGTAGTTTTGCATAGCTGTATGTTTCCTTTCTTGTGGAGCACGATGACCAAGGGTCCATGAGTCCATGAGATTATTGTTAGGACTGCGACTATCTCTTCTCCTCTTGCTTGAATGAACTCTGTTGGTATGTTATCAATGCAGGCTGACCACAGATGGTACAAAGGTTAACAAATGCTTCACATTCATATAGATGGTACAGGCGTTAATACATGATACACATTTACACTGATGGTACAGGCGTTAATACATGATACACATTTACACTGATGGTACAGGCGTTAATACACGATACACATTGACACTGATGGTACAGGCGTTAATATACGATACACATTGACACTGATGGTACAGGCGTTAATACACGATACACAGTTACACTGATAGTACAGGTGTTAATACATGATACACATTGACACTGATGGTACAGGCGTTAATACATGATACACATTGACACTGATGGTACAGGCGTTAATACACGATACACAGTTACACTGATAGTACAGCCGTTAATACATAATTACACATTTACACTGATGGTACAGGCGTTAATACATGATACACATTTACACTGATGGTACAGGCGTTAATACATAATACACATTTACACTGATGGTACAGGCGTTAATACATGATACGCATTCACACTGATGGTATCAGCCTAATATATGTTTTACATTCAAAAAGAAGGTGCAAGAGTTAATGGAAGCTGTACAAGTGTACAGATCATTTTCAAATTGAAAAATATCTTATATGATTTTAGCTACTGTATGTCCTCGTATAAATTAGGAGGTATCTGGGCATGCGCTCTGGCAATTTGCACAAAAAGCGTCAAGTTCTTCGTGTGCATCATATTGAGTTAGTGGAACAATGATCTTGGAATTGGAACTGGGCTTCATGGGTCCCGGTTAGTGTCATGGAACTGGCGTGTAACATGAATGGATTGAGCAGGAAATATGTTCCGTCTCCTGGTTAATTGTTCGATAATTATTAACTTCCATGTCATTTAGACAAACCTATAAATAACTTTGAATTTTATAAAATTATCCACCCACTCCTCAACCGCGCGCGCAATGAAAGCTCATTTTTCTAGTTTGTTAATATTTAGTATTTTGCAATGTGATGTCATTATTGATGAAATTGTCTATTCGGTGTCTATGTGAGTCTTGGTCTCTCATAATGATATGATCCAAAATGTCTTTAAATGAACTCGCCGTAATTCCACATAATCACAAAGCTTATGAGCAGCTTGTAATTCCAGTGAAAAAATAAAATAGATCCTCACAAATAATAATTAAATACAAAAATACTGGTTCTACAGGCTAGGAATAACTAATTCTCAGATAAACATCCCTCCTATTAAAAACCAAGGCGTAGTTTGGTTACGTATCGGCTCTTTCAAAGTAACACAAAAAAGAGTGAAGACAACAAGCTTTGTAAATTTTAACAAAAATAATTTATTTCCCTAGAAATCACGGAGAAAAGGTAAATATATGAAATAAGAGTTACGATTTACGAAGGAGATCCAAAACTTTGTTCTAAAGTAATGAAAATACATAAGTCCGGTGAATAAGCAGTTCTAAACTGATACGGTCTGAACGTAACTTCCGATCAAAGATGGCGGATGATGACGTCAGACGAAGGCTAACTGAAAAAGTCCAGAATTTGCACTATGAATTGTTGTGTTTTAATTTTATAATTCCATCAAATGTCTTTGTTCAAAACCGGTAGTGTTGTTCTCCAGGGAAAATAATTATTTAGAAAATAGATGAAGTACAGCTAATAAGAATACACATGCCATCCATCATACGCATGAAAGAACAACTCTTTACAGCACAGAAATACCTTTTAAGGTATTAAAAGTCTATGTTAGTGACTCTCAACTATGACCACGACTACTGCGACTAAACATTTCTTACAGAAAACTGAACATTTAAAACAAGCTAATACGTCATATCATGTACTCATGCACGAAGGACACGTGTGATTTCGAAATCATACTCCGGTATTACAAAAGCGTAAACAAGTAATGGCGTGGTCACAGCCAATCATTTTCATATATATTCCTGACTGTTTACTTGCAACGAAAAACTATCATACAATCGTTGTGCTTACATGAGTCACATTTACGTTTCGACTAAATGCGACGTCTTTCTCATAATCATCATCATAACTACAATTATATTTAATAAAAATGAAATAAATTAAAATAAACATAAAATAGGAAAATTCAAATCCTAACACACATGCAGTTTAACTACAGGATCGTAACAGTTTCAGAACCAGAACGATGGATGAATAATTGCTTCCTTTAAATTCTAGTTCTTAACAAGATCCGTTCTTTGAGTATATGACTGTTTCCTGGAGAGAATTTGGGCATTCAGACTTAAAACTTCTGACACTTC